GTTAATCATTTCGATCACTATTTCTGGCTGATCGAAATATCTTTCGAAGCTTTCAAATCGATCTCGTTTCGCTGATCACACGAGAAAAATGTTGTTCCACCAGTTCGAAAGTCTCATCCACGGATGAGGAATGCGTGAAAAATTGAAGTTCAAAACACGTTACGATAGGTAGACGGCATCGCTTACCTAGTAAACCAGGTACGAAGCACACGCAGTTCGTCAGCATCGCGCCTTTAACAACGTCCAATTCAGGAAGCACTGCCATAAACATCAGAGCCAGGCCAGCCACGTGGAATGTCTCCATGAGAAAGACGAGAAGGAAGTGAGAAACCGGTGGTTTCTTCCATGACTTGAAGATGCATATCCTGATGCTGCGAATTAACGTGCCGAATTCTGGCACCGCGAACGCGATTATGATGCACCAGATCCACGCTATCCTCTCCTCTTCCGGCAACGTTGCCATCCATTGCTTGTCCCGACCTTTAACAAACTGATCGCTGAAGAAATACATACTGATTGAAAGTGAAAATTATAGCGAAACAGCAGGACTCTCCTATGCGCACAGAATTTATTCATCACAGCCACTCATTTGTTGATAATTCCTTATAAATTACTCTTACTCTTCGTTCTGGTGTTTCCATATAAATTTTTGCATTTATCTTTAATGATATTTAAAATACTCATGATATTTACACTCATAAAGTGGCATTAAGATCAACAGTATTACAAAACATTATGCAATTAATAAACGACGGACGAAACGTGACATTTTGACAAAATCATTAGTGTATTCATTTCAGTTCAATCTTATTGTTCAATGTATAAAACAGGTTTGCAATAACGAAGTGTACTGAGGGATTTTTAAAAGTACGAAGCACCGGTGAATCCAAGTTATCGTCCAGAAATATACTGAACACGCTAAAAAAAAAAAAAAAAAAAATGACAAATAATAACCGACGAACAACTGATGAAGAATCTAAAAGTTTCCCAGGCAAATCGAGTTTAAAGTAGAAAGCCGAAGCTTCACCGTCGAAAATCATATTAATACGCGTTTCCATTCGATGAAAATTCCAACTTCGTTTTCTCCAAAATGAAGAACTTATTTATTACAAAAGCGACATTCGCGTCAAAAGAAGAGTCCAGCGTGACGGATAGAAGCCAGGAGAGCTTGTAGAAATTTATTCTTAATTAACTTTCATCATCTAGAATCGAACGATTTTCTAGAAGGCAGCCTCGCGTACGCGGTGCTTCCAACCTGGTTTCGCGTACTTTCTCTCCTTTGACTGCATCGAGGTTGTACGCAGCAGCTATGATGCGAGCACAATCCACTTTTTACGTCATTCTATGAAAGTTTTGCCGCTCTGATGTCAAGACAGATGCAAATGAACGCGTGCGGCGTTAACTTCGTATAGGCATCTAACGATATAATGTAGAGAAAATGCTAGTAGATACTTGGCATAATTCTATAACTAATTTTTTAAAAAAAGTTGCTTCTGCTTCGTCTCTCTTTCGTCAAAGCGAGCAAAAACAACTTAGGCAGTGTGTGACAGTAATTTCAGTTATTGTTAAAATTTTAGCTAGAAATTGTAGATTTCGAGAATCTGGCGACCTTTCAGATTCAACGGCAAGTACTGAGCACTACACATCTCTTACACGGAGAAACAAAGTAACAAAGTTTTCTTAGACGTTCGTCGGGATTTCCCAAGTTTATCGGGCCACCCAAGTTTCAGTCGTAAACGATAAATTGAGTAACCGCGAGCTATGTGCTTCCGAGCAATCACGAAATCGCATCGCACAGCGTAAGCCTCAGACGAGCCACTGAATTTTAGATAGTAAGAGAAATAATAACATGTTAAAAAAAAGTATTTATTCTACTTTGAATAGAACTTTGTTTATCTGAGCTTTGT